GAGAGACCCGCTGCCAGCCGGTGCACTGACGCCCCGGCGCCGGACGGCTGGCCATGGGCTCCTCGGCTTCCCAGCCGTCCCCACCCTGTAGTGTCCCCGCTTTGATGCATAGTCATCGGTCTCTGGAGGCGGGCCCCCCACCCCCAAAGCGAGTCCAGGGCGCGGCGGGATGACACTCAGCCGCCTCTCGGGTCTGAGGAGGGCCGGAGCTTGGCCTCCGCAGCCCCGCTGACCACTTGGCAGGTTTCCAGCGCACGCGCTCACCCCAGCGGGCCCGCGCCCCCCGCCTAGAAGATGCCACCTGATGCTGGGTTCCTCAGCGCTGTGACGGGCTGCTCTGTTCTGTGGGGAGAAGCTGCCACCAGGCTCACGTTCCTGGGTTTTCTTTTGTCTTGGCAGTTTGGTAACTGTTATCCGACATCCGTCCGAATTAATGAATGTCCCTCTTCATCAGCAACAAAACAAATGTACGACATTAGTGAAAAATAAGACGGCAGCGGCCACCGCCGCCCTGCAGTTCACCTACCCTCTGTTCACCGCCAACGCCTGTGCCAGCGGCGGGGCCGCCACCCTCTCCCAGACACAGGTACCCGCCGCTCGCCTGCGCTCGCGTGGTCAGCGCGTGTAGCTCGGTAGGTCCCACGGAGTTTTTCCTTTCGTTGAGCTTCATAACCTTTTAAAATCGAGATTATTCGCGTGGTTTGAGACTATTTAAAAGCCGCCCCCCCCCATACTGCAGTTCTTCACATTGTGCATTAATAGCTGTGTGTCACTTCTGTCCCCGTGCCTGTTGGTGCAGTGGAGAGGGGAGAGCCCATCGAAGCCCTGTCACTCTTTTCCAGAGTTCTAGTAACTCGTGTTCCATCCTCGAGGCCGCCAAGCATCAGGAGATCGGATTGCCCAGAGCGTTTTCTTTCTGTTACCAGCAAGAGATTGAATCCACTAAGCAGACTTTGGGCGGTAGGAACAGAGCCTTGCCTGAGCAGGTTTGGATTAAAGTGGGAGGTAAGCCACCAAGCCGAGGCGGCTGGTCCTTCTGCTCCTGCCTGACCTTTGCCCTCAGGTCGCTGTGGGGGTAGCGGGAGGTGGTTTATAAGCAGGAACAGGTCTTGGAAGTGTCCTTATAGCTCAGCTCCTTCCATCGCTTCTCCCCCAGGCATCTGACTTCGAACATTCTTCTGATTTTCAACACCAGACTTGGTAACATTGAGTTCAGGGGCTGCCGTTTCTTAACTGTAAACTCCATGAACAGAACAATGAGACTCACGTAAATTTTCAGTTATCTTCAACTTACCGAAGCACATAGTGGTTTTTTTTTTTAAATTTATTATTATTATTTACGCCTACAGCACCTGGTCTTCCTAGGTGGTCTCCCATCCAAGTACTAACCAGGCCCGACCCTGCTTAGCTTCCGAGATCAGACGTCGGGCGTGTTCAGGGTGGCTTGGCCGTAGACCATGGACCGTGGCTCCACTGGGGCGCGAACCCAGGACCTTGAGCGTGTAAAGCAGACGTGCTCACCGCTCCACTATGGAACCATGTCCAGCACGTAGTGTTTTTTTCCTCCTCGCTTCATACTTGGCGAGTGAGGCGCAGTCTCCTGAGACACAGTCTGTGTGGGCAGGGGATCGAGTTGGAGCAAGAGGCGTGATTACTGAGTCAGGAAGTCTTAGAAATTAAGACACAGCAGACCACTCGCCTCGAAAGTTAGTTCCCGATCCCTTTCTCACTGGAAACGAATTCTTTCTCAAGTTATGGTCCAGAATAACAGGGCTCACACGAAGCTTTTCAGGAGCTAACGAACACAGTATGGGGTGGCGGCCTCCCGTTTTCTCTCACGTCAATAATTCATTTTCCACTTGTTTTATGGGATTTTATGCAAAAGTCTATGTTAACATTTGTCAGGTACAAAGGTCAGTATTAAAATAGTCACTGTATTGACGACTCGGCTGGAGAAATAAAATATTACCAATGCTTGTGGGTTCCCCTTTGTCCCCCTTAAAAAGTTATCACCATTCTGAAACGTGCTAAGTGAGTCACGCTCGAGAGAACTTGGCTTTTGTGTGGCTTCTTGGGGGTGCATGTCACTACGTGATGCCCCGCAGATGCCTACTGTTCTGTGGTGGAAATTTGACATATTTCTGTAGCATAAGCTACGATGTGGTTTCCCCTTTTGTGGGGAGAATCGCATATATCGTGAGGGCGTATTTAATGCTCAGCCACTTAGGTCTTATTCTCCTTTGAGAATTGCAGTTAAAATAGCAGCTGTCGTATTAGAATCATTCCGGCTTTTTTTCCGTACTCTGATTATCAGAAAAACCAAACAACTTCTGGGTGTCTCTATTCGTAGATGACAGTTAATGCCTGTTGGTTAACGAGGGGACTTGGACAGAGGCATGTGCTTCTGTAACACTCGGAGCGTTTTAGCGCAGTTATAGGTTTATGTCCAGTTTTGTCGTTTCTCACATGGAACCTCATGCGGACTGTGACACAGGATCGCTGCTGAATACAGCCCTTCCTCTCCAGGTGTCTGTGGCCGTTCATGTTTGTATCTCTGAGTGAAGACGCCAAAAAATATATTCAGCATTAACGAGAATAAGAAGAATAAAAAATTAAAATACCGCTTTTTTCCTTCTTTTGCAAAGAAGAAGCGCTATGCAAACAAGCAATGAATAAGAGGAACCGGAGTAGAATGCGTCAGCTGGACACGAGCGTGGAGCGGAGAGCCCTCGGGGAGATTCAGAACGTGGGCGAAGGCGCCCCCGCCGCCCAGGGTGCCTGGCAGTCCGCGGAGTCCTCGCAGTCACACCTCGGGGAGCAGGCCCAGAGCGGGCCCCCGGGAGGCAGGTCGCAGCGCAGGGAGAGGCATAACCGCATGGAGAGAGACAGGAGGTAGGCGCGTGACGGGTCGTCAGGCCCTGTGTAAACAGCCCCGTAGACACGGTTTCTTACCGAGTTATCAGTAATCACAGGCAGGTTGCTGGCTAAGGCGGTAGTTGAGCCGTTTCTGTGTTCAAAGCGAGCAGACGTGGGCACGAGTAAACATGGACTTGGTTTCGCTCGGTGGACCGGGGTCCCCAAGGCGCCCAGGTTTGCCGAGTCGTTAAGGAGGACTCACGGCTTTGATTTATTACAGAGAAAGCACATGGCAGAATTAGCAGAGGTGGGTGGGGAGAAGGCCAGGGTGACCGGGCGCAGGCTCCCCAGGTCCCCTCCTAGTGGAGTGACACGGGAGCACCAAGGTCCCCCGGCATCCAGTTCTGGGACGCATGAAACGCTGCCAACAGAGACTCAGTGCCCTGAGATTTTGTTGGGGGCCAGTTGTGGGCATTCCCTGCCTGGCACGCAGCCAAGTTCCAACCCACCCCCCCCGACTCCCCTGGGGGGTGTGGGGAGCCGGGGTTTAATGAACCACATCATGGGCACAAATGGTCCTGGCGCTGGGAGCCCTTTGGAACTGGTGGTGGTGGGGACCCTCCCCAAATCCGAGCCCCCAGGGACCAGTCGGGCCAGCCGCGTCAGCAGGGCTTTGTGAGGTCAAGGTCGGCCTGCCGGGCGCCCGCCCCTGCACCCCGGGTCACTAGCTTTGCCTGGTTCTTTTAAGAATGTTGGGGAAGGAGGAGGTTAAAACTGTTACTTAAGTCGTTTTATCTGTAGATTTTATTTGTGCTGTTCTGTGTAGACTCAGAAGGTCTTCGTTTTTCTGTATCACAGCTGGGTTTTTACATGACGTTTCTCTAACGTAAAATTAATTAGTCATTTATTGAGCAGTTCATACTGGTTTCTGTTGTAGGGTCAGGCAGTATAGCACGGAGCAAGACAAATAATTCCACTTTGAAGCCCCGCTGTTGAGCTAAGGCAGTTTATTCTAAGGGTCCTGGTAGAGCCAGTTAGCCAGCCAGGAACCGTCAAGTACGCGATGCACACACACGGGCTGAGCCGAGGGCCGCACTGGACTCAGCAGGAGTCGCAAAGGGCGCTTTTCCTGCTCTGACGTGTATTTAGTAAACGTTTACCGAACGCCTGCCGTGTGCCATCCCTGGGCTGTGTTTGCAGGGGGAGCTCGGCTCTTACTCTGCCGCGTCCGAGCGTCACAGCCGTCCACCGGTTCTGTCCGGTTCTGTCCGTCTCAGCTCCATTTTCTGTCTATAAGATGGAGACGTTATCTACACAGAGCTTTGACGTTGGAATTGGACGAGCTGCCGTGTGGTGTCCGGCGCTGAGCCCGGACGGCGGGCTGCACCTAGGCAGTGCCGGCGTCTTCCCTGCAGAGTCTCCGTAAAATTCTAAGTGTTCCATTTGGGAAGATGAGAAACCAGGGTCACGTCGTGTGAGTCATTCGGTGTCGGCTCGTACAGGACTCTGCGCGTTGCCAGACGTGACGTGTGGAAGTTAAAAGTGGTCTCTGAAAAGGCCGCCTCCAGATGTAGCGGGCTGGCAGCCTGCGGTCTGTTTGACCGGGACCCGTGGGCAGCCGAAGCCGGGCCCCCTGGCAGCGACTGAGTCCTGGGCACGCGAGGGCTGGTCAGTAGCTTGACTGAAACAACGAAACCGCACGCACACGGTTTTGCTCCCGATTCCGGGGGGTTGGACCCATCCTTGGTCTAGACACCGGCTCCTGGCCCGTGAGAAGTGTCCCCCAAGGGCGCACGGACGTCCTGGCACTCGGGCTGGGCCCCTGAGCCGTGGTCCTTTGAGTGGCACAATCTCGCTCGGCCGCTTTGTTTTGTGTCATCCGCTCTATGTGATGCTTCGATTTTGCCGGCAGGCGCAGGATCCGCATCTGTTGTGACGAGTTGAACCTCCTGGTCCCGTTCTGCAACGCGGAGACTGACAAGGCCACCACCCTCCAGTGGACCACCGCCTTCCTGAAGTACATGCAGGAGAGACATGGAGATTCGCTGAAGAAGGTGAGTGTGCAGGCTGGCAGACTTTCACTTCGGTCACTCATCGGTGTTCTATGTGTCCGTTCCCCGAGATCCCAAACTGCCTGTTTCCTGGCCCACGGTCACACGTGAGCCAGCCCAGTGCGCAGCGCTGCTCATGAGTGTGCAACTCGGCGCTGGCTCACGGGGTAGCTGTGGCCTGGATTGTTCACTGAACCGCGGCATAGAAATGACGCAGGCGTCCAGTGTCACACCGACGGAGCGCCTGCTGTATGCAGCAGGTTGTGCTGGGCGCGGAGGGGTCTCCGAGACCCGTAGGACGTGACTTTATTTTTTGCCCTCAGAAAACTGAAAGGGATGAAGCAAGAGTAGCCAAAAAAAAGAAAAGGGCCGGTAAATGTCAAATAAATAATCTGCACTGCAGAGCGCTCAGAAGGCAGCGAAGAGAGACACTTGCTGGGTGACTGGGGATGAACCCCGGGGCGTGTGGCCAGCACGTCCTTGCCTGCCTGCTCGGGGCTCCCACAGGACTGAGTGCTCTGTGAGTGTCCGCGCGCCCCCTCCGTGGTGGCTTCTGTGCTCTGCCGGGACCTTGGGTTCTGGTCTCAGAACTCGGGCGGTCGGCGCGATGAGGCCTTGGCAGAGTGGGCCTGGGCACCTGCCGGCGTCCTTGTCCCCGCTGTGTCCGGCCGCAGCACGAGTCTGAGCTGAGCTGAGGTTGGTAACAAACGTGGAGCTTTTTGAAAAGAGCCTCCTGCGTTTAGATCCTGGCCAGGCCTGGGAGCTGGTCCCCGTGGTCCAGGGCAGGCCCCCCGGCTGTGGGCTCGGTTCCTCCGCGTCGCTGCCCTCGTCTGTGTCGCGTGACAGTTAACAGCTTGTGGATTACGTGATTCTATCATATGCCTTATTTTCACTGTACGTTTAATTGCATTTTTAAGCAGTACTTACGTCATTCGTGGTCATTTGTAATGCGGCTACTCTTTTCACACTTTGTTAGAGGTAGACTTGGCTTATTTTAATAAAGCTTTTATATTTTCTTACATGATTTAATGTTTGGCTCTGTGTACCTATTAGTAAACTGTTGATATAATTCAAGTACAATGGGGGTGTTGTTACAACAAAAAATTTGCCGACGTGTATACGTGTACTGAGAGATTAAGTGGATGGAAAACACGGATGTTCTGTTTTTCATGCGTTATGCTTCCTGGGAGTTGTTTCTGCGTCTGACTTCAGCGGCCGGAGTGCGGTCAGTTGGTGTGTTTGGGGACTTGGAAAGAGCAGCGCGAACACGTGTGTGCTTCGCTGTTTCCTTCGTAACTTCCCCTTCCTAAGTGAATATTTTCGTTCTTAAAATGCAACTCGTGAGAGTCTGAAGTGGTTTTCCTATTATTTTAGTGCACGTTTCAGTCCCCAGATCTTCCCTACTCTACTCAGGCTTCTGCTTAATCAAGACATGGGGGTGCTTTGAATGAGACGGAGACCCCACTGGCCTGGGGGTGGCCGTCCCTGGTCCACGGTGCACAGCTGGCCACCCTGCTGTGGGAGGGGGCAGTGCCGTGGGGGCCCTGCCTGCGGGGGCGTCTCCAGTCAGGTGTCCGAGGCTGGGAAGGTTCAGGCAGGAGTGGCCGCGATCCGATGGGCCTTTCAGAGTGATCACTCTCACCGCTGTGTGGGGACACTGGCCTCTAGGAGTGTGGGTTGGGGCAGGAGAGAAGGCAGAGGCCCTGGTCAGGAGGCCGCAGAGCAGCCCCACCGAGACTGGCCCGAGCGTGTGCGTGCTGCGGGGTGGGACGCACTGGAAAGAGAACTCGGGGTTCTGGCTTGAGCAGCCGGCTGCACGGTGCCGTTTGCTGCGACGGGAAGATGGGAGGGACAGTGGGGGGCGCGTGGAACCCCCATGCCCAGGAGGCATCAGGCGGGGACGTCAACAAGGGGTTGGATAGACGGCTCATCGTCAGCAGGCAGGTGACTCGCTTCATGTCACTTTTCTGTGAACACAGCACACCCCAGCAGGTGGCGCCCGTCTGCACGTCACACTCGCGTTGCAGACCTCGGGCGCCTTCTCCTCTGAGCTCTCTGCTCGCGTGTCCTCGGGCGTTCTGCGTGACCCGGTGCCGTTGTCACGCCTCACGAAGCTGACCGTAGTTGTCCCGCGTTGTCTGACACCCAGTCACTGTCACATTTCCCCAGCGCGTTAGAAATGAGTCTTAGGGCGGCTTTTTCCCAAACGGCACCCACCGTGGGCTATGGTTTCGGCCTCTAAGCTCTGGCGACCCCCCCGCCCCGCAGTTTCCCGGCGTTGGGGTTTGGGAGGGGGTCGGTTCAGGAGCTGCAGGGTTTCTGAATTGCCGTGACCCACTTTATCCATTTATGGTAATTTTAAATTCGACGTAACTGCAAACTTAAAAAAAGTTACAAAAACGATACAGCAGCTCAGGCCTTCCCGAGCCAGCGGTCGTCAGCATTTTGTCCACTTTGCTGTCGTGGTCAGCAAGTCTTTACGTTTTTCTGAGCCATTTGATGGTAAACAGCAGACAGCACACCCTGCACACCTGAACACCCCAGAATGAGAACGTCATCTCGTAGCTAGAACGAGCGATCCCAATCGGGGCGTTTACTGCGGGCGACACTGTTACCAGGTCAGGGTGACGCCCTGATGCCACCTGTCGTCCTGTAACGTCCTCTGCAGCTTCTCCCAGGGGGACCCGGTCCAGGCTCATGGCCACCCCGGGCGTCCTGGCCGTGGACCTCAGGAAGGCTGCAGGGCCAGTGTCCCTCCCGTCACAGCACCAGCGGGCACCCAGGGTGCTGCCGCCCCTGTGCTTTGCGCCCCATCTTGTTCATCTGAACGAGGGCCCCCCACAACTTCACTTGGGCATCAGCCCCGATATTAACACACGTTCCTTCCCTGCTACTCCTGTGAGACCTGTTGGTCCCACGTCCCCTGCCAGCAGCCACCCGCCTCCTTGCTCTCAGCGGCAAAGCTGAAGGACTTGTCTGTCCCTGACTCCTGTCCTCGGGCAACAGCCTGTGGCTACCCGACGCCCGCTGCCAGCGACGGGTGAGGGGACCGTGCTGACGCCCGCCGCCTGGCTTCCGGGCCGGCGCCCTCCCCGGCCGTCTCGTTTGCCGTCTCCTGTCCCTGCCTTCTGTGGTGGGTGCCCGGACGCGTCTGCATCCACTGACCCCTGTGTTCAGTGGGGTGCACACAAACCCTCTCCAGACGGGCTCCCCGGCTCCCAGGGTGGGGGGACACGGCGTGGCAGACCCTTCGCAGAGGGACCGACACCCCGTTCCGAGCGGCAGGCTCCACAGGCGCTCGTGGCACTGGGGTCCACTTTGCAGCTTTGTCCTAAGGGGTTCATTGGTCCCTTGTTCTTCGGTCATTCCCGAGCAGCGTTGTCCTGGCCCAGAGCTCTGCTCTCCCGAGTGTCCCAGCCACGCGCTGGCCGCCCGGGGGACCGGCCTCTGGCCTCGTTCCGGCCGCTGGGTTTTTCAGAGGACGGGGCAGTCGGTGGTTGTGTTTTCTCGTAATTTGCTTTTATGTGAGTTACTTTTCAGCCCGCCTTTTCCTTTTCTTTTTTAAGGTTTATTTTTTCTGGTGTCTCGAGCCAAAAGTTGGCTTCCTTGTTTTCGGTCTCGTTTTCTGCTCAGTGCATTCAGAGAACACCCCCCAGGCTGGGACGTGACAGTCCCCGGTCCCCGGGGGTCTTTAATCTCGATTTGCCCCCTCATCGTGGGAATTCTGTGAGGGTTGATTGGCTCTTAGTTTCCCACAGATGTGGCGCTTTGTGTCTTTCTAAGAACAGCTCTTGCCTGTTCTTCACGCGTTTCGCACACTGATGGGCGCAGGTGGCTCTCGAAGCAGTTTTGCAAGTTTACGGAGCCCTCTGGTGAGAACTCTGACGCGGGCAGCTTTTTAAAGCTGCGGGGGCAGAGGGGGGGCTCCCGCACCCCGACGACCCGGAGGCAGCAGAGCCCTTGCTGGGCATGGACGAAATAAATCTGCCACAACCCAGCAACGGAGGGACCGATGACCTGACTCAGAACGGGGCAAGGACATGAGCAGACATCGCTCTGCAGAAGAGGCACGAGTGACCGGCGAGCCACAGATGCCTGGCCTCACTGGTCACTGGGGAGATGCAGGTCCAACCCCGGTGACGCCGCCTCACACTCAGTGTGGCAGGACGTAGAGAAGTTGGAACCCTTGGGACCGAGTGCCGCTGGGGCGTAAAACGGTGCAGCCCCGTGGGAACAGTCCGAGTCCACGGGGAGTCACACCAGCGTGGCACATGGCATTCACCCCGAAGAACCGGAGACCAGCGGACTCTCGTACCAGAACGTGCACAGCGGCCAAAGGCGGAAGCGGCCCGTGCCCGCCGGCAGGTGAGTGGATGAGCAAAGTGCCCCGGACGGTAGGGCGGCCTCTGACACGGGCTCCAACGTGGCCGGACCCCGAGGACACTGCACGGTGAAATAAACGGGACACGAAAGGACGGTCCCCCTGGAGTCGCAGAGCTCAGAGCCGGTGTCGGATGGCGATGTCGGTGGCCGGGGGGGGGGGCCAGTGTGTAACAGGGTTTCAGTTTGGGAGGACGAAGAAGTTTTGGAGCTAACAGTGGTGTTGGCTACATGACATTTTGAATATACTTAATGCCAGTGCATTAAAAATACACTTACAAATGGTTAAAATGGCAAATTTCATATGTTTAACCATAAAACATATGCGAGCCTAGACTTAGCTGTGTAAGACGCAGGGCTTTAAAAAACGTGGAGGTTCACGCACGAGACGGCGAGGACACAGCAGTGCAGCCCCGTGTCCCGGGCACCCCAGCCGCCCACCGGCGGAGCCGCCGTGAAGCGCTAGTGGACGCCCCGCCCACGGGGTTCTGTGGGGGGCGCTGCTCAGAAGCAGCCCCGTCGCCCCCCGCCCCCGCCGTCCCACTCCCCGGCGGGGCCTCCCCACAGTCTTGCTCTTGGCCGACTTGAGTCGGGACGTTGCGTGGGGTCGGCGGCTTTAAATATCCTTCCGTCTGGAATGTCCCCTTTTCCTCAAGCAGCCCCGTCGCCCCCCGCCCCCGCCGTCCGACTCCTCCCGGCGGGCTCCCCACAGTCTTGCTCTTGGCCGACTTGAGTCGGGACGTTGCGTGGGGTCGGCGGCTTTAAATATCCTTCCGTCTGGAATGTCCCCTTTTCCTCCTCGCCACTTCTTACTGCAGAGGCTGGGATGCCACCCTGCGGGGTGTCCCTCCCTCTGCCTTCCGCTCGCCCGGGACCCTTGTTCCCTAGAGGCCGCGAAGGTTCGGGTCGTCCGCGTGCGTTTGCTTCTCCTGTCGTGAGGTTGAGACACGTGCTCAGGGCCGGTCAGCTGAGCCGGCCACCAAAACTGAAGCCCTTTGAAGAGCAGACAACCAGGCCACCGTGAGCAGGGACCCGCCGCCACCCGGGCGCCATGGTAGTCGGGGACAGCCCCCAGCGCCATGCCTGCCACCGCACTCAGCAGGGAAAGCGCATGCTTGCTGTGCGGTGGGGGTGCCGGGTACAGAGCGCGCGGGTGCTGGAAAGCTCTGGAGACGGAGGGTGGTGACGGCCGCACGGCAGCGAACGCGCCTGGCGCCTCGGATTGCACACTTAGACGGTTACCATGGCGAAGTCTGTGTTGTGTTTCGCCACCGCAGAAATAACAAAAGTAACTATAACTGCTTTTGAAAACATCAGATGGCTTTACAGTACGGTCAGAGATCTGTTGGGAAAATAAAGATACATGTACATGTAACGACACAGGGGAAATGTTCGAATCCCTGTTTCCGTCACATATTTCTACAGGAGGTGACGGACGTCTGAACGGCACCTTAGTTCAGCTCGCGATTTCTGCCGTGCGTGTTTTTGGAGACGGCCGTTCTCACGTCTGCCCATCGCTAATGATCATTTCTCGACCTTAGGAATTCGAGAGTGTGTTTTGCGGTAAAACTGGCAGAAGGCTAAAGCTGACCAGACCAGACGCCTTGGTGACGTGTCCCACACAGGAGAGTCTACAGAGCAGCCCAGCCATGGAGATCAAGTGACCGGAACTGCACCCCGATTCCTGGAAGACGACAGCCATCCCTCCGGCCCGCAAACGTTTCCACAGCCGCGGCTCTGCGCTGACAGTCTCACTCTGGAGGGACGTGGCTCGAGTGGACGGGACCCCAGTGGGGACTCTGAAGCGCACTGTGCAAAGATACTTACCTAGAGCAAAACACTTACCCGTCACTGTCCCCTTAGACCGTTGGGGATGAAGACATCTTGACAATTAGTAAGTAATTTTTCAATTATCTGTCTGATTCCATCATGTTTTCTTAACATGATAACTTAAAAAATTAACACCCCATGTAATTTCTTTAGCCTGACAAGGTACATTGCTTTTTACTTATTTTATTTACATTTTAAATATGCCCCCTTAGCAACTGGAACAAGTTGAATTATTCTTCACTAGAAGCAGTTTGGAAATTTATTTCATTTGTTTATCGCCCCCACCCCGTAACGATTCCAGTCACGTGGCACTGTGTTGCAAAGCGCAGTCCTGTTTACACCGTTTTGCTAGAGATTTGCCAGCAACGTCCTTTAAAGCTACCTTCGTCCGTAAGTGAAATACTGTCACAGTGGGCTGCTCCGCGCCCTCACTCCCATATTGAGCCATTACTTTTTGTGTAATAAACTGTAGTGTTTGGAACCGAGTTTTTCAAAGGAGTGGCTTTATTTATTATGATCGATAATACCGAAAGCCTTTAGTGCGATACAAAGTCACCTTCGATAAAGGCCGTCCCTCGGGGCAGGTGGGTTTGTGCCCAAAGGAGCAGGTGAGTCAGACGAGACCTTCGTGGGGAGGGAGCGGGACTGTGGTCTTTATTTTTTGTTACACGCGGCCAGGCATCGACCTGGAGGCTGCTGAGAGGTTCTCGTCTCGTGGGGACGCAGGACCTCTGTGTGCGCCCCACGTCCGTCTCAGATGGTGGCTTTAGTCTCACTGCGAGGGCCTGCGTCAGAGGCGCGAGGTCACAGCTGGGGGACCGCCAGCAACACACGGAGATGGCACTTCCACGGCAGCTCGATGGAGGACACGTTCAGGGTCCGAGAGTCCAGTCGCTGCCGTGGACAACGTGGCGGGACGTCCTCTCGACAACAGAACGTTGCTGACCCCTGGGCTGTCCCTCCAGAGCCCACTGCTTAGATCGGCGTCACCTTGTCACTTCCTTAAGTTGCGTTCTAGGAGCTTCGAGCCCCCGACTTTTCCCCGCCTCCACCCATCATGGCTCCTTGGCAGGCTGAGGTGTCACAGATGCCGGGGGTCCCCTGAGCACCGACGGCGCCAGGAAGGCCAGGGTCGCCCGGCAGCCCGGGCTCGCCGTGGGCCCCGTCTCGGCCGTCTTTGCCAACGCCAGGCACGCCCTGTGGTCCTGGGGACAGACCGGGAAGGTGAGTGGACGCGGCGAGAGAGCACTCAGCATCCACCCTACGTTTCCATTTCACCAGCTTCCTCCCCAGCTGCGGGCGAGGCCAAGGGAGCAGGGCCCAGGCCCAAGGTGGGGACGGGTGTGGCAGGTGCAGGGAGAGGTGCAGTGGACCGGCCACATGGGCCCCGGGTTGTCCCGAGTGTGGCAGCTCAGACTCGAGCAGGGACAGTGGTGCCGCGTGACGGAGGGCCTGGACTGAGCCAGAGGGGGCACGGCGGGGGCGAAGGAGGCTCCCCCATCGGGTGGGGCCCTCAGTGGCAGGTGAGGGCAGCTAGGTCAGCAAAGGAGAAACGGTGGGGTGTGGCCTCCAGAACTGGGAGATGGAGTAAACACGGGGGCACAGGGGAGCCGAGCGACAGGCATGTGCCTGTGAAGCCAGGTGGCCTTGGCCTCCCAGGTTGTGAGTGCAGATGACCGTGACCCTGGGACCGTCTCCGAGGGGCCTGGGGGCTGGCTTTCGCTGGGGACAGCTTTTGACAAAGCATTTATATTTGACATTAAAAATGTAAACGTTCAGGACACGTGTGGGTCAATTAGGAGAAAATTCTGCTGGAGTTTAACTGAATTAGGTGCTGGGCGGCTTTAGTTGAATAGACTTTAACCGGATCGACTTAACCAGAACAGGGCAGGGCCTGCTTGCCGATCAGACGATTATGTACAGAAGTGACTACTGAAGGCGTCGCCAAGCTGGCCTCTAAGAACGCTCTGCCGAGGAAAGACCGTGTCCCTTTGGAAGCCACCCAGCACCGCCCCGAGTAAAGCACAAGTGTGGAGAAGATGCCGAGAAGCTAAGCTGTTAATGGCCGTGGCCTCGTACCTTGGAGGCCCTGGTCTCCGTCGGGCCCGTCCAGGCCCACGCCGGCCGAGCCTTTGTCTCCTCTGTCCCCAGGGCTTCCTGTCAAAAGAATTGACATAGCTGTGTTTAGAATACGAGAGACGTCGGCACGGGCCACATGGCGCGGCGTGGCCCGTGCCGATGGAGTCTAGTGTGTTCGGGGCCACGCCGTTAGCGGCCGAGTGTTCCCTCCGTGTGCGTCCCTGCCGCAGCAGGACCTGGCCCGCGAGTTCGCTAGAGGCGCCCAGCGCCCTCACGGTGTGAGTCCAGCCGTCCGCCTCCCGCGGGTTCCGTCTTCGTGGCCTGTGTCACCGACAGGCGTGCTGGTGTCCCGTTAGGAAGGCCCGCCGGTCAGCCTGTGCTTTGTGTGACACTGGACGCAGACGGGTTATCCTGGAAGGACGTTCCTGGCAAAGGGAACCTTTCGTCGGCGGTGACACGCGTGAGGCAGACGGCACAGTTGGGGGCAGTCTGGCCGCCTGGCGCTGACAGGTTGACGCCAGCTTTCTCTTGGCCGTTTGTCGGCGTGTCCTTGTCTGCCCTGTCACCAGCTGATCAGTGTGAGGCCCGGGGCCGTCTGCGGGCCCATGGGAACGGCCTCCCCATGGGGCGTGTTGGTTCCGGTACGGTGTCCCTGACCTGTCATGTCCCCAGGGGGAATGGGAGCTCAGCGGGAACAGTGGCTTCTGCCTGAGGACCTCCAGAGCATGTTCTCAGCTCATTCCCGGCCACCCTCGGGCAGCCTCGTGCTGCTCTCCTAGGGAGGGACTGGGCTCAGGGTGGCAGAGCCACCCGCCAGCCTCTGGGGCATAGCCCGTCCTCAGGCAGGCGGCGAAAGGACGCAGCCTGTGACCACACCTTCACGTGGTTGTTGCCCTGCTGCACCCTCGAGAGCCAGGAGAGGCGACCGAAGCTGATTTTGAGTCTTATTTTCAAGTCTTAAAGGCATTCAGAGAAGAAGGCCCATTGGGCTTCCTGAGCAGACTGCCGCCGACGTGAATAACGTACAGGCTGACGATGCAGCTGGGACGAGGAGACGAACTTGACGTGTTCGCCCCTGGTGTTGAAATTATTCAACCTCTAAGCACCTTAGTGCCAGCGCAAGACCCCTTCCTCCTGCCGAAGAGTTTAAGCTCCACTAACGGACGGAGAAAGTCACAGAATCCAGCTTCCCTGGGGAGCGTTTTCCTTCAGCTGTCCTTCAGAAATGGTCACTAAGCTGGAACAAATTGGCGTCGTGACCTTTAATCGTTCATTCGGGCCCCGAGCTTGCCGGGCGGGGTGGACGCAGGCGCCGTGGCGGCAGACTGCCAGATTCCAAAGCCACCGTGGCACGTGCAGGCTGAGTCAAGGCTCGATGGCGCCGGGCCCCGAAGCGCAAGGGCCCAGCTGGCCTCCACCCCATGCGGTTTCTGGCGCCACGTGGACCAAGACGGTGGGGGACCGAGAGGGTGGGGGACATCGAGGCACCTCAGACACGTGTCCAGCGCAGGTCTTCACGAGGCCGGTCAAGGCCGGAATGCACACTGGCTCACGTCCAGGTGACTTCGGGTCCCCCTTCTCCCTCGGGCTCCCTTCCCTCTCTCGTCCCCCTCCGCGGGGACGTCTGTGTGTAGGGGTGGGGGGCACGCCTGGGGCCGTGCGGTGGGCTGACTGCACTCACCTCTGGGTCCGGGGTCTCCCAGCTCTCCGGTGGGGCCACGGTATCCAGGGGGCCCTCGAGCGCCGGGGTGACCAATGGAGCCGGGGGGCCCCGGGGGGCCGGGGGGGCCGGCTGGTCCGGGCCGACCGATGGAGCCCGGCGCCAGAGGCTTCCGCAGGTGAGCAGCTAACTGTGCGATTTGCTCTTTGGGGAACAGAGATTCGGGCGGTCATTCACTCGGGGAGGCCTGCACAGCGCTTCGCGGGGCTGTCTGCCGGGCGGTCCCGCTCACGGGCAGCCCCATGAGCCAGACCGGGGAGCCTCCTGTGTCTGGAGCACCTTAAAAATCCCGTGACTCGGGGTGGCCAGATGTCCACCCGTCCCTTGTCACGGTTTCCTTCAGCAGACACTTAGAACACGGCCCGTGTGCCAGCACTGTGTGAGACCCTATGGGAGGGGCCTCCCCCAGTGCAGAAGCCAGCCCCTCAAGACCGTGGGCGCTGGGCCAGCCACGGGGGGTAGGGGAGCCCCCACATGGGATGCGAGCACTCACCACTGACCAGCCCCCCGCACAGCTCCCTGATGCGCTGCTCACTGGCTTCTTTCCCCTGAAATTCACCCCGAAAGTCCGTCAGCATGCTGGGGGCACGCTAGTACCCACGAGGCACGCCCACTGTCACACCGACACGGGCGAGGGACAGCACATACCGGGACTCCGGGTTTCCCGGTGATGCCAGGCACGCCTTGCACGCCCTGGAGGCCCACGGGCCCAGGGGGCCCGGGCATGCCCTCCACGCCGCTGGTGCCGTTGGGACCCTGGATGCCTTTCGGGCCCAGCTCCCCTCGGCTGCCGGACTAAAGGGACACACAGGACCGCGTGGGTCGGAGGCCAGCAGGCCCTGCAGCTGCCACCCCACACTGCTCCCTCTGGGCCAACGAGGGAGTGAAGATTCGTGCTGTGGGCCGGCCTGGCGGAGCCAATGGGTCCTCTGCCGGCCACTCACCTCTCCTTTGGGTCCGACAGGGCCACCGGGACCCTGCAAAAGACAAGATGCGCGTTTCAGCGACTCGCGTGTTAGATGCGCGGGAAGTGGCTGCTGTGGAAGTGACCTGCACGTCGTTAGCTGGGGACGAAGCGAAAGCCAGGCGTCCGCGAAGCAAAATGTCACTGCCTGACCTTCCAAGGACAGTTTCTACGTCGCTGAGACTGTCGCACCCTCTGGTGCCTTCCGCTCACTGTCCCCGAAGGCGTTGCGGTGACTGCGTGGCACTTTCCCGTGTACGTGCCTGTTTGTTCCCGCTCTGTTCATTGTCACACTCAACGCCGAGGCCCCCTTTCCCCAGCTGTGCCCTCACGCGGCCGCCCAGGACCGACTCCTCCGTGGCACCATCTGAGCGACAGCCCAGACAGCACGCTCTGCTCAGGCCAAAGAGCCGACCGTCCCTGTCGAAGCCAGACGGGGCCTCCAGGATGAGGCTTCTCAGCCCGCACGGCCGGGCCAGAGCGGCGGGTGCCCAGGGTCTCCCGTCAAGATCGTCTGGGGATTCGCCACAATGCACGGCACGCGCGGCGGGTGCCCAGGGTCTCCCGTCAAGATCGTCTAGGGATTCGCCACAATGCACACGGCACGCGCGCTCGCTCGCTTTTCATTTAGATTATCAAATTCATTGGCATACAACTGCTCATATTATTACTTTATAGTCCTATTAATTTCTGTAAGGTCAGTAGTAATGCTCTCTTTTAATCTCTCTCTCTCTTTCTCTCTCTCTTTTTCTGTGTGTGTGTGTGCGTGTGTGTGTGTGTGTGTGCGCGTCTCTCTCTCTGTCTCTCTCTCTGTCTCTCTCTCCTCCCCGCCCCCCCCACACGGGATTATCTGGGCTGGAGACAAGGGTGCTCGTGGCTGGGCTGCTTCCGTGTCACTCAGATGCGAAGGAAGCCTGAATTTTATCTGGGCTGGAGACAAGGGTCCTCGTGGCTGGGCTGCTTCCGTGTCACTGAGATGCGCAGGAAGCCTGAATACAGAGCTAGGCGCCCTGGGCACATGGGCGCCCGAGAGAGCCCGTCCCCAAGCTGCACGACCGCTCTGCGTCACTTAGCTCCAGAAGCGGGGCTGTCGACCAACCCAGTGTTCCCAACCTGACCTGCATCTTAGCTCTGCAGAAGAGGTTTTCCTGTTAAAACTCAACGGTGACTTATTCACACTGAAAGCCCCAGGTGGCCTGACCGTGCAGGCTGTGTCGCTGGGCAGGAGGCGAGAACCCCATGGCCAGGCCCACGGGACAGCACAGGCCCCGCCAGCCGCCTTTCGGACGGGGCAGTGGCCTCGCTGGCCCAGCGTCCCGCGCCCTCCCCATGTCTGTGGGCGCTGCCTCCCCAGCGGGGCCCTGAACGCAGCTGGCCCCTTCCCAGGTGTCGATGCGGTGAGGGCGACATGCTCACACTTACCAGTTCGCCTTTGTCCCCAGGAAGGCCATCGGAACCCGCAATACCCTAAAACAACACCCCAGAGTTAAAAGGACGGGTCACGCCTGAGGCTGTTCCCACCGTGGTGACAGCTGGGGCCTGGGCACCAGCCAGGCCCAAGGATGCCAGGCTGACACCGACTTGACACCAACCTCGGGCGGGTTCGCATTGTTCTAGGTCCTCGACCAGTATAAAGGGTCTGTGCTGCTGGAGGTGACAGCGGGGGCTTGGGGACGCAGGCCCTGCCCGGGGAAGCGGATGGAACCCAGACTCGGCCCTCTCACGGTCACTCTCCCATGAGGGTCCCAGAGGAGCTGCTCAGGCCAGCGGCAGCTACCGTCCACCCGGAGCCAGCCGGTGACGTCAGGCTGGCCGCTCTGTCCTGGGCCCTGGGGCCTGGGGCCTGGGTCCTGGGTCTGTGGCTGGGTGCCCAGAACTGTCATCACTGGGGGGAGTGAGTGACAGCCAACAGCAATGACGGAAGGAGGGGGAGATGAGAAGCGGGGTGCTCACCTGGTCTCCCTTAGGGCCTGCGGCTCCTCCCGGGCCCTGTGTGGAGAGGAGGCTCGGCATCAGTGTGGGGACCGCAGGTGCGTGCTCCCCCTGGCCACCTGGGCCTGGGGCCAGACGCGTGCTCCGGGCCCCTGCGCGTGCGTGTCCCACGGCACCGCCTGTGTCGGGCTCCGTGGCACCGCACTGCCTCGCACGGCTGCCTCACAGGTGGGCATCCCTATGTTCGGTAGCGTTTCTAGCACCGGGAACGGGGTGGGGCCCTTCTCATGCGCACCCCAGGACCATGTCACAGAGCGGGCTGCGGAGGCCGAGCCAGAGCTCCTGCTGCCCGTCTCCCCCGGGGGCTGTGCGGTGGGCAGGCCTGGGATGGCGGTGCTCGCCCCGAAACATGGCAGTGCAGACGGGGCGAGAACCCTTCCGCAGGGCACAGAGCGCGAGGCCACCCGAGATGGCCTCAGCTGTGACGCCGTGGGAAGTGGGGTAACACCCACCCCCCGCCGGCAGCCCCTCCTTCCAGCCTCGGCCCCGGGCGTGGTGGGCGTGTCCCACCCCTGGGATTTCCTGCCCGCTGTCCCCCACCGCCAGATGACGGGGCGTCTGGAGGGGTAGTCCCGGTCCCCCCCCGTCTGCAGGCGTCCAGAGTCGAGTGTCGCTGGGGCAGGTGGCCAAGGACCTGGTGTAGCGTGGGCTGGAGGCCCCTCAGGCCACCCGGTCACGGGTGACCACCAACCAGCCTGGAGCCCTCCGTGTCCCAACCGTCACAGGATGACAGGGGTCCTCACAGCAGACCTACCAGCTCTTACTAGACCACTAAGAACCCCCGAAACGTGAGACAGAGGGACCGTCGGTCACAGTGGTGTACAGTGGTGGTTTTCGCTCATTTTAAAGCACCGTGACTCTGTGCCCAGTGAGTCCTCAGCCGAAACCCAGCAGCAAAGTGGCTGCCTCTCCCTGCGCCCCACGACGGGGCACTGAGCCTGCGGGGCCTCTGTCTGTGTGTCCCATGGGACTGTGGACAGGGACATGACACCCTTGCTGGGATGGCCACTTACCCGGTCACCTACGCCGCCTCGGAGGCCCTGGGGGCCTGGCAGGCCCGGGTCCCCCATGCTGCCCTTCTGGCCCTGCAGACAAGAACCAGCCGGTCACAAGGGGGCCCAGCAGGGGCCCCTTCCTGCCGGCCCCCCAGGGCTCACTGGGTGCAAACCTTGGCCCCAAACCTTACTCACCTGGAATCCTCGGACACCAGGGACCCCGGGGGGGCCTTGTGGGCCCAGAGCCCCCTGAAAGTCAGAAGGAAGGTGTGAGTCTAGCCCGCCTTCCCCGGAAGCTGGGCAGACACAGGAGCTGGTCCCTGGCCCTCTGGCCCAGTTGCTGGGGACAAAGGTGGGGGGGCATCCTGGAGGGTAGCTGGGGGGTCCCAGAGGTCATCAGGCACACCCCGAGACCTCATGCATCAGCCAGGTGGCAGGAGCCGATGCCCAGGGCCCTCGGGCACTATGGCTGGTGGTGTCATTATCTTCATCTACGGTGGGGACGTGGGGCTTGGGGAGCTTCCACAGCGCCTCCCAGGGCCCGAGGCTGGGCTGTCCCCTCAGCACGGACGTCTTGATGGCTGGAAAGCTCTCGGGCCTGGCCCTCACCACCTCCCACCTTGCCTAGGCTTGGCCTATTGACGCATCCAAAACGCCACCCCAGCCTGCACAGAAACTGGGTCACGTGGCAGGGGCTCCAGGCCCATCCCCCACCCCAGGCTCACCCCCACTCACCGCTGAGCCCCTGTGGCCAGCCTCGCCACGCTCGCCAGGCACACCGACGTCTCCCTATACACGAGAAGGCGAGGGAGGGAGGGAGGGCGAGTGTCGGCAGGGCCTGCCCACTCAGGTGGGGGGCAGGGGGGCGAGGGCAGAGGGTACTTACGGGGACACCGGGCTCTCCCGAGGGGCCGGCCTCGCCCAGCTCTCCGGCTCTGCCCTGCACGGAAAGAAGGCCGGTGCCCGCTCACAGAGCCTCCGCCCAGGACCTGCTGCCGGCCTCTGCCCCGCCCGCCCCCGGGGAAAGAAGTCACCTACCAGTTCTCCCTTCTCGCCCTTGGACCCTGCTCGTCCTGGGAGACCCTGCGGGACAGAGGGCGGAAGGGTCAGAGCCGCCACATCCACGGAGAGCACCCCCAAAGGGTGAGGGGCACTGGCAGCTTCCCTGGCATGGATGCGCAAGCCCCACTCAGGGACCCACAGGAGAAGCCCTGTTCTGGGAGCACCCAGTGGCACAGTCCCAGGGACCCCTGCGGGGCACAGGCACTCACCGGCAGCCCGTTGGGACCCTTCTCTCCTGGGGCACCGTTGCGACCAGCGTCACCCTGCGGGAGATTCGGGGCTGATGCGAGGCCGAACTCCTCGCAGACCCTCCTCCCCTGCAGGCCGCCCGCGGCATACAAACCTTCTCGCCATCGAGTCCTGGCACGCCGTCCTTGCCGTCCCTGCCTGGCATGCCCTGGGGACAGGGGACAGTGTGAGGCCGGAGGGCGGCCCCCTTGCCCCCTCATCCCCAGTCCCATCACCCTCCAGGCCGCTGCTCCGGGCAGCTCCCTTCCCCGTCTCCCTAAGCGAGTCTCACGGCTCAGCGGCCACTGGCGACCTGTGCACCCTGACACTCATCGGGTGCCTGTGGGGCCACGTACTGCCCTGCAGCTCTGCACAGACGCTGGTCCCCAAGGGAGGTCCCCAAGGGAGGTCTGGTTTACACATGGGGACGCTGAGGCTCGGGCGCCCGAACGGAGGGCACAGCCCGGTGCGGGGAGGGGGCGGGAGAGCAGAGTTTCCTTCATTTTCCGCCCTCAGCCCTGCACAGAGGGGCCACCAGGGCCTGTCCTCCGGGGGAGGGACCCCGAGGGTCTGGGCTGAGCTTGGGCATGCAGCAGGGACAAGGGGCACGGGCACAGAGGGCAGGTGCCCACACCTGTCCCCGCCAGTCCTAACCCCACACGTCTCACATGCTCCTGACCGCTGGTGAGATTCCCCCAAGGATCCCCGGGCACTGCACGGTCAGTAGGGCCACAGGATTGGTGGCCTCGTGAAAATGCTGCAGAGCATTAGACTGAGTGAGGGCCACGCGCCCCTGACGCCAGGGACCATGGGGGGAGAGTGATTCCCGGGGGACGCGGGTGCCGACGGGACACAATCAGGTCGGCCAAGGCTGCCGTGGCGGCCACAAGCACTCACCGGCTCCCCTCCAGGCCCGGCCACTCCAGGGAGCCCCTTGGGACCAGGTCTGCCCTAAAAGACACGCAAGCCACTGCAGTTGGGACCACGAGGAACACTCCAGATGATCTCACAAGTCCTGGGCGGGCCCGGGCAGGGGAAAGCTGCGTTGGCCGATCCCAACTGCCAGGGACCCATCTAGGATCCTAGACACTGCAGCACTGCACGGCCACCTCGTGGGCCTCTGGTCACTAGTCCAGGGGAAGAGCTGGCTGGTTTGGAGGCATTCACGGGCGAATGCCAGCTTGGGGACGGCCACTCTGGGGCTTAGTCGCCTTTCGGCTTTGCTCACGTCGCTCGCTTAGCCTGGGAGCCGTCGTGTTGTTCCGTCTCCCAGCTGGGCAAGGTCGAGTACCGCCCAGGGCCTCCTGACGAACGTGCGTCAGTGGCCAGAGCTGACACCCTGTGGTCTGATCCCACGGCTCTGCCCAGACGCCCCGCATGCCAGATGACAGGACCTTCAAGTAGCCGCTGGGGAAGTGGGCACGGAGCGAGCAGGGGACTCACGAGCCCAGTGACTCGCCCCAGCCACCCCGGGAGAGGGCAGCCGCCCCCCGTCCCCACGTCCCCCTGCACCCCGTAGAGCAGGTTCTGAGGAAGGGCCCAGAGAAGCAAGCTCGTTTCACTTACGAGGTCACCCTTGGGGCCTCGGAACCCCTCTGGGCCCCGTTCACCTCTGTCACCCTGAAAGGACAAGGGGGACAGGGACAGAGTCAACTACTCGAGAAGCGAGGAGAGCCAGACCGAGGCGCGACCGGCCAGGGGCAGTCCCAGACGTGGTCCGAGGGGCAGAACTGACCCTGCTGAGGGTCACAGGTCAGAGATGGAACCACCTCACGTTACGTCCAGAAAGAGAAAGGGTGCGACCCTCCCGCGAAGGACAGACAGACTCCTCTGGTAAACTCACCCAGGTGTGCCCACAGGAACGTGCCCAGGTGTGCCCACAGGAACCTGCCCAGGTGTGCCCACAGGAACCTGCCCAGGTGTGCCCACAGGAACCTGCCCAGGTGTGCCCACAGGAACCTGCCCAGGTGTGCCCACAGGAACCTGCCCAGGTGTGCCCACAGGAACCTGCCCAGGTGTGCCCACAGGAACCTGCCCAGGTGTGCCCACAGGAACCTGCCCAGGTGTGCCCACAGGAACCTGCCCAGGTGTGCCCACAGGAACCTGCCCAGGTGTGCCCACAGGAACCTGCCCAGGTGTGCCCACAGGAACCTGCCCAGGTGTGCCCACAGGAACCTGCCCAGGTGTGCCCACAGGAACCTGCCCAGGTGTGCCCACAGGAACCTGCCCAGGTGTGCCCACAGGAACCTGCCCAGGTGTGCCCACAGGAACCTGCCCAGGTGTGCCCACAGGAACCTGCCCAGGTGTGCCCACAGGTACCTGCCCAGGTGTGCCCACAGGAACCTGCCCAGGTGTGCCCACAGGTACCAGCCCAGGTGTGCCCATGGGACGGCTTAGCCCCTGAAGGGCCGGAGCAGCCCAGTGGGGTGGGGTGGGGTGGGGCGGGGGGAGGCATCCAAGTGAGGAAGAGGAAGGGGAACCGAGAGCCTGGGCCAGCATGGGCCTCCCTCCAGCCCAGACTCGCACGTACCGCTTTCCCAGGGGCTCCTGGGATCCCGGGGGGCCCTTGGAACCCGATGGGACCCTGTGGAGAGAGGGAGCATCTGGGCCTCTCTTCTGGAGCCTGGCCAGCACCCCCACGGGCCCTAGACCATCTACAGAAGCCCCCCCGAGCACCCCACCAAGCACCCCCAGCAGGCCCTGCCCCAGTTACCACCTGGTGGTTCCCAAGCCCCCTCCCACGTTTGCCAAGGCCTCTCCCGTGCCCAGTCCCCTGGGCTTGAGCACAGGCGTCTTCATAGCCCCAGCTTGGGGCCACGAGTGAGGGGCAGCCCAGAAGCAGGCCCCGCAGCGGCCGCTGTGAGGCCCAGCACTCACAAGCCCACCTGCATCTGGAGGTGACCCCCGACTGCCTGGCCTGCCCTAGGGGTCGCCACAGCCCCCAGGTGCAGGCGGCAGGGGCTGGCGGCCTTACCCGGTCCCCCGGGGGCCCAAGTGGCCCTTGCAGTCCTCGGAGCCCTCGAGGGCCCTGTGGGGAGAGAGCTGGAGATGGAGCCGGGGCTGCGGCACCCGGAGACGCACAGCCCCCAGGGCCGTGGAGGGCCCCCGTGTTTCCCCTGGAAGCCCCCCACCTCTGCTCAGGCCTTGGAGGGTGCAGGCCTGCAGCCCCTGGGATCGGCGGCCTGGCAGAGGTCGGACCCTGGCCAGAGTCCTGTCTAGGTGCTGGTGGACTGTGCCTGCAGCCCCGAGATGGCCGGGGGACTCCCAACCGCATCCTCGCCCTTTCCGGCCCCCGTCCCCACTCACCTGCAGCCCCACAGTGCCCGGGACGCCAGCGGGCCCAGGGGGGCCGGGGTCGCCCTGCAATCAACATGGAGGAAATGGTGGTGAGCAGTGGTGGGTGGACTGTCCCAGCCCCTCGATGCCCACCGGCCCTGCCCCCAACTTCATGGCTGAGTCTCCCAGGCTGAGGGGGCATGGCTCTCCTCCATGGCCTCTGTTCCAGCAAGGTCCCCAGCCATCCCCCACATCTCCTCCCGGCTGGGGTGGGCCCCTGTGCTGCCCACAGGGCAGTCTGGCCCCTCGCACCACATTAGAGGGCACCTGGCCTCCCCCCCAGCCTGTGGGTGAGGGCAGAAGACGCCCACCGGCAGTGGCTACAGGGGCAGGGTGGCAGGGACTGCTGGGGACACATTGAGCTGAAGCCGACCTTCTCTGGCTGCCGGTGGGGCCCGCCAGAGCAGGTTGGAGGGGGCGGAGTCTGTCCAGAGGCCAGCCGGCCAGCAGGGGAGGTGTGCGGGGAGCCGTTCGGTGTGTCCCCGATGCAGCCAGCAACTCCTCTCCCCCCACCCCCAAGAGCCTCCCCTGCAGCTGCCACCGCCGGAGCGGACAGCCTGGCATCGCCCATGGTACCTTCTCGCCGTCTTTGCCGACTTCTCCTTGCTCCCCTTTGTAGCCGGTGGGTCCCTGAAAGCCAGCAGTGGGTGACGAGTTGCAGCCTGACCCCCCAAGCAGCTTTGAACTGAGGGCCCAGGGCTCGCCAGCCCGGGTGGGGGAGCAGGCCCAGTGGGAGGGGCCAGGGAAGGGGCTGGGGGCCGGCGCCCAGGGAATCAGCACGGTTGATGGGGGAAGGGGACAGAGCAAGGACCCCAGGCAGGGTGGGGTCCCATCTCAGCCTCCCATCTCAGCCCACACGGGGACCAGGCTGCCTCCTGAGGGCACGGAGATGGGCTCGGGTCTGAGTCACCCTACAGCCACCACGCACCTTGAATTGGCATTCCTTTTTTTTTTCCTGGGGGCCCAGGGGGGCCGGGCGGGCAGATGGCCGGGCACTATGGGAAACCAGAGTGGTCAAATCCCTCCCCGACAAAGGGGCCCTGAGGTGGGCCATCCACCCAGGCGAAGGGGCCTCCTGGGGTGCCCACACAGGACCCCATTGAGTGCTGGCCACAGGGTGTGGCCAGGCCCTGTAGGAGCTGGACCGCGGCCGCCAGGCTGCTCCTCGCCCGCTTGGAGCCCTCGGCCTCAGCACAGACGCTGGGCTCAAGGTGGCTCTTCACAAGCGTCTGAGGCTTTGCAAAGGGGCCTTCTGCCCACGCCCAGCCCCTGCGGCGTCCTCACCACACCAGCGTGTGGACAGGGACGAAGGACAGGGAGGAAGGTCCTGGATCGTCCCAGAGCCAGTGCCACGCCCCCCACCCCAGCCGCTTGGCCGGCCCATCAAGGGCCCAGCCATTGTCCTCGTTCTGCAGGCTCCGTGCTCGCCCTCTGGGACATGGGCGGGGGGCGGGAGGGCATGGGGGAGGCTGTGGGGCCCCTGCGCTGAGCCCCGTCCCTAGCAAGCCTGTCCCCAACTTCCTGCGATGGGAGGGGACAAGCCGTCCTCCAGACAGTCCCTTCCCACCAAGAAGGCGCCCCCAGCCCCTTCCCAAAGGGCTGCCAGTGCTCACCTGAAGGTCAGTGGCACCTTCGGGGACGACCCCTGGGTGACCCTGGAACACAGAGCCGGCTGGCTGTGACGCTGCCTGCCCGCCCTTCCCCTCCCTCCCCCCGTCCATGTGACTTGGGGACACCAGGGGACTCTGGCCTTTCATCTGGCATAGACAGTTCTAGGTGCTGCTGGCCCAACCGCCAGGCACATGACAATGACCGAAACCAGCTGCCCCAGGGACAGGTGGCCACCAGACCTGAGCCCTGACTATCCCCAAGTCACTGCAGCCTGGACTCAGCCGGCTGCGTCTGCGGAGTGTCCATGCCGGCAGTGGACCGGGGCTGGGGCTCCCAGGGACAGGGAGTGAAGCCCACCGTGCGGTCACCCATGCCTGCGGCCTTCACCCAGTACTTACAGGGGGTCCAGGAGGTCCTGGGGGGCCGGGCAGGCCTGGGAGTCCAGAGGGTCCCTGGGGGGCGGTGTGTGTGACTTAGATGGAGCAGGCTCAGCCCCACCCGAGGTGAGGTGGCCAGCTGCTCCCAGAGAGAAGCCTCCCTCAGTTGTGCCCCTGAGGGGACACACCCAGCTCTGCCCACCTCCCAGACCTGGCCTGTGCCAGCGTCCCCTGCGGTCCCGAGGTCTGGCCTGTCCCTCTCCCTGGACGTCAGCCACGGCTCCCATCAAAGCCCACAGGGAAGGCGGGGGGAGGGGAGAGGGTTCCAGACGCTCCTGCCCTGGAATCTGGGTCGGTGGGGAGGGCACCCGCTCCCACCACTGCGAAGTTCTGGGGCAGCCACTTACCGGGGGACCCCGGAGGCCGAGTCCACCTGGGAGCCCGCTCACTCCTGCCTCTCCCTGGGGGTAAAGACGAGAGATGGGGTCTGCACCCAAGGGGCTCCAGGCAGCCCCGGGGGTTCAGAGCCGGCCCCTGGTCCGCATGCAGGGCCAGTCTGCCCTCTCTGAAGGGGCGGAGACCTGGGTGGGGCCAGGTCTCTGCCACTGGAAGCCCCACCCCCAGCCCTGGTTTGGGACCTGGCGGCCAGGTTGGCTCCAGGTGTGGTGGGCATGGTTGGCTGGGGCACGGGCTGTGGATACTCACGGGGGGTCCAGGGAGGCCTTTGCCCTGCAAAGCCAAGCACGTGGGTCAGAACTTGCTGGGGACAGGCTGTGCCCGCCCACCACCTCCTGGGGAAGGGAGCCTCAGGGGACAGCGCCTGGTGCAGGACAGCCTCCTGGACAGAGGCCGGCCCAGGGCCCAGCACCCAGAGGAGGCCATGGGGGGTGGCAGCCAAGCGTGCGGGGTGCTCCTCTCGAGGCTCCTGGAGGACCCCACCCACGTCAGATGCTCGGCTCCTCAAACCCCCACCAGGAGACAGGATACTTACCCCCAGCCCGGGTGGTCCAGGGGGTCCCAGACTTCCCTGCCGAAGGAAGGCGAGGTGTCAGGCTGGACTGGGCTGGGTGCCCACCTCGGTTCGCAAGCCCATCCCCCTCCGTCCCCAGACACTCTACAGCTCCTTTGGAGAGGGGGTCCTGGCCTACAAGACTGAGGCGCCAGGAGTGGGAGGGCTCTGATGCCGGAGCCACACAGACCGGCCGTGAGGCGTCTCCTCCAGGAAGCCTTCCAGTTCGCCCCCCCTCGGAGGTGGCAGACCTCCACATCAGCCCCCATGGGAGGGAGCACTGAGCCTCGGGCAGCCAGGCCCTGTCTGCCGCCCCCTGCATCTTTGCCCTAAGGCCTCCCCCACCCGCGTGTACCCTAACCCCAGGTCTGGAGCACCGTCCCCTCCACCCCTCATACCACAGAAGGACCAAAGGGCTGCTGGCCATGTGGCCACTCCGTTTGCGGCTCAGAACACTCCTACAGCTGAGACCCCAGAGGGCCGTGTGCTCGCGCCCCGCCCGGCCTCTGTGCCCTCTGCACCCCAGGACGAGGGACGGCCCTTCTCATGGGGGAGGGGAGGTGTGCTGGGCTCGGAGGCCGCCTTGTTGGAGGGGCGCTGCTAAGTCAGGAAGTGGGTTTCGGTGGACGACAGACTCAGGGAGCAGCTAGGTGACCCCGGCCACAGGCCTCAGGTGGGCACAGAGGAGCAGTGGTTCATGGGGAGGAGGGGGCTCAAGGGCCAGTCACCCCTCAACTGTACCAGCCTCCCCCACACGGCCTGGATGCCGGGTCGACTCTGCCCAGGGTGGATGTGGGGTGGGAGGCCGGGTGGTACTGGATGGGGGGCCAGGTGGGTGTG